CTGACAGCACTGGCTCTTTGGCTTTGAAACAGAGATGAGCACCGCCCCCTAGAGTCGGGAACCTTTACCTTTATCAAGCATGGAGTTCAGGCATAAAATGGAAAACTCCAAGCATGGGAAGGATTCAAGGCAGCAAATTGTAAAAAAAAATATCCAATGGAAGGGTGACTTGCATTTGCATTTGATATGCTACCTGCTGGGAAGATTAAAAAGAAACTTTCAAGACAACCCTAATCTGCATTACTTTTCTTTGTTGGCATGATATTTTGTTCTTTGTTTATTCATTTGTTATTGGACTTAAAGGCAGTCTGACTCCTAGTACCTCATGGCTTCCATCTCTAAAAGTAGCACCAGTAAAAGGAAAGAAAAAAGAGATGCACATCCAGAACAAACAACCTAATACATCAAAAGAAAATTAACAGAGACTTGACAGCTACTTAACCTCAGGCCTGGGAGCAGAGCCAGGCTTTTAGAGACTTGAAGAACAGCTGCGGGGTGGGAACCATATGGATTTTGAGGGGGGGTTGTACTCCAGAGGGCAAGACATAGAAGGCACACTTTCTAAGTCCCCCCCCCAAAATGATATTCAAGGGACCTGGAGTATACCCACTCCCCTTGAACTTACTATGCAGGTAGAGACATTGGAGACAGATGGTCTCTCAAATAATAAGAGAAGATCATAAATATCTATTATGGGAGCCTCAGTGTATAGACAAAGAAAAGATGAAATCATTGCTTGACAATCTTCCAGATAGTTCAGAAAGAAAGTAGTTGTATCTAGCACTAATGTAGGGCCCTCTATCAGCAGTGGCATCCCCCAAAACTGTAAAGATACACACCCACACACATACACACATATTTCTTAGGTATTTGCAAGCCATTCTCTCCCTGCCAGAAGTTCAGCTGAGGAAAGTCTTCACTTATATATGGCCATACAGAGATGTATTCATCCCAGTTTCCCCAGCCTACTCATATTCAACAAAATCCTGAAGAAAATAAGGAAAGGAAGGGCTGTTGGTTCCCAGGGAACACTATAGACTCATAAACCAGTAATCAGGACTGTTCCCATTGCAGTCTGATATTTTTGAAAATCTGGAAATAATTAGAATAGTCCTGCCAATCTCTGCTGCATTTTAGTCAAATTTGGGCCAACAGAATACCTGTTAAGATTATCTGGAATTGATATTAGTTACAAGAGAGCAGCTCCCACAAAGTCTTTGTTGGGGCTAATTGGAGAGATGTCCAAAATATTTCTGGAGATTCTCTCTGCCCCGCCCCCCATGCCTAATCCCCATCTTATAAAGCAAATGGAGACTTTACAGGACTCTTAGTCAACAGAGTAGAGTACCACATCTAAAGCAAATGCAAGTGGAAGGTTGCAAAAGAAGTAGGAATTTCAAGAAGTGATACTATAGTCAAGAATCCACCAAAATGTAGTCAAGTCATTTATGTTATTTGGCAGACTTCCTTAAAACCTGAATTAACGCCTTAGAGAAGTAGCATAAACAAAACAATTGCAAATGTTTGGAACAGTGGGAACAATCAACCAGTGGATCAGCTTGCCTTCAGAAGTTGAGGGTGCCCCATCACTGGAGGCTTTTAAGAAGAGACAGGACAGCCATTTGTCTGAAATGGTATATAGGGTCTCCTGAAGGAGCAGAGGGTTGGAATAGATGATCTCCAAGATCCCTTCCAACTCTATTATTGTTACTGTATTGCTATATTACATTACTGTTTTTAAGTTTCATAAGTGCGGTAGCAAAAATTTTTTCCACTGTTTCGATTTCTAGACTTTTCTAAGAATTTATGAAGATTATCAGTACTATTATATTGTTAATAATTAATTAGCATTTATAATTAAATTATTATTATTATTATTATTATTATTATTATTATTATTATTATTATTATTATTTCATCGCACAGTCAGCCAGATGTTCAGACTGGGTTTGGCATTTTTGTCTACCTATTGAGTCCTTACCAAGGACCTGGGATAAGCAAATCTGGATGTCTGATGGTGTTACAGATATTGTCATAGGATGGAAGCTGTTCCCAGTAAAGCCACCTTCTGCAATTGACTGATAGCAAATTTGTCAATACCAATACTGTTCCAGTTGTTTTGGGATTGCACCCAAGGCACCTATTACTATTGGTACTACCCTTGCTTGCCTTTGCGACAGTTGTTCTATTTCTATTTGTAGGTCTTTGTATTTTGTTATCTTCTACAAATTCTTTCTCTTCTATTCTGTTGTCTCCAGGCACTGCCACATCCACTATCCAGACTTTTTTGTCTTTCTTATAAACGATGGTTAAGTATGGGGTGGTATATGGCAGGTGCCTGTCTGTCTGAAGTCCTAGAGCCATGATGGTGAACCTATGGCATGCGTGCCGGAAGTGGCACACAAAGCCATCTCTCCAGGCATGCCAGCTGTCACCCGTTGCTCTTCTGGGTTCCGGCACGCACATGTGCACCGGCCAGCTGGTCTTCACGCATGCATGCACACCAGAAACTGGAAGACCAGGTGACCAGTGTGCACGCACACACCAGAAACCAAAAGCTCAGGTTTCCAGCATGCGCATGCGTGCCGGAGAACTGCTCTTCCGGTTTCCGGCGCCCCCATGCGTGCGTGCTAGGGAGCTGCTCTTCTGGCTTCCAGTGCTCCCCTACACGCACTCCCGTTTCAGTACTCGGTGCCGAAAAGTTTAACCAACACTGTCCTAGAGCAATTTGGCTTCTTCATTTTCTATGACTTTCTCTAGTTTATGGTCCCACCAGTTCTTGTTTGCAGGCAAATGGTATTTCTTGCAGATCTTCCAATGCACCATTGTTGCTTATTATGTACATCGCTACAGTTTTGGTATATAACCTTGCTCTAAAACATAAGATTTATATTAACATTTTGTGAAGCATATGTGCAGGACACACTTACTGGACTGTGGTTCCACACTGTCAATACTTATAAGTAAAAACTAGTTTCCATACAAAGGTGGCAAATATTAATCTATCCATAATCCTATTTTGACATAGGTTATGAATTAAGTTTAGGAATTCTAAACAGCAAAATCCAAGGAAGTTCTTAATAATTAAACCTTCTTGTATTACTGGTGGAAAGGTGAAAAACAGTTTGCCTATCTGGAAAATAGCAATAGCAATAGGACTTAGATTTATATACCGCTTCATAGTGCTTTACAGTCCTCTCAAAGCAATTTAGAGTCAGCATATTGCCCCCAACAATCCTCATTTTACTGACCTCAGAAGGATGGGTCAACCTTGAACTGATGAGAATCAAACTGCTGGCAGTCGGCAGAATTAGCCTGCAATACTGCATTCTAACCACTGTGCCACCACGGTTCAAAAGCCAAATGATATCACAAAAGAAAGATATATTGGGGAGGAATGTGACTTACGTTTCTGAAATACGAAGGAGAGAGATAGAAAGAAGGATTGATCTGATGCTATTCAAGAAGCAGTGATGTATCATGGAGTGAAATACATTTCTTCTACAGGAAACATAATGAGGGGAGAGAAGGTGAAAATGTAGGGTCCACTCTTGCCTGTAACATCTTGTTCTCAACTTTTCCTCCCACATTGAGAGGGAAAGATTGAAGAGTGTCTGCAAATGTATTTCACTGCACGTGATGGCAATCCTTTTTGCAAGTGGGAACCGTAAAGCAACAGGGCTTCTGACCCTGTGCAGGGGTTGTAAGTATGTTCAGAAGAATGCAGGCAGTCTCTTGCTTTATTTTCTCTATCTCAACCTTGGCAATCTGAAGTTGTGTGGACTTCAATTCCCAGGATTCCCAAACCAGCCCCACTGCTTGGGGAATTCTGGGAGTTGCAGTCCATACATCTTCAAGTCACCAGAATTAAGAAACACTGCTCTAGTGACAAGAGGAAACTGGGAATTGAGGGACAAGAATGTTTTCTGTTTCCATTTCCTCTGCAAATATTCATTTCCCTAATGACCGAAGGGTTAACATGACCTAGAAAAGTTCCTCTTGACCCGATTTGCAACACAGCATCTTGCAAAGCAAATATCCCCCTCCCCCCTCACTTCCTTAATTTTTTGGTATCTGCTAGCCCCAAGTTGCAAATAAATTTTGCAAAAAAAATAAAGAAAGAATATAGTCCAGGGGAGGTTAAGCATTTTTACATCCCGTTTATTTCCACCGGAGAGACTTAACCATATACTGGTGCACCTGCAGATGATAATATGATTTAAACGTGTATAACTTTGGCTAGAAAATTACAAAAATGTCTCCTGCTGCAAATTTGAAAAAGGAAATAAAAAAGAGAAGTTGCACCACAGGAAGTGTATTCGAACTATGCAACTCCTGTGCTAAGAATGTAAAATTACAAATTGTGCTGTTTTTCCCTGCGATTATCAGTGTGTTGTTCATGAGCATCAATATCCCACGGGCACCTTCCTTGACATCCTTGGGGCTTCCTTTCCAACCCTCTTTGTTTTGGGGCTGGCCATACATCATAGTAACTATTTTGGGAATGTACATCTCCCTGTAATGTATATGCTCAGTATTTCAAGCCCAAATAAGTGAAGATGTCACCCTAGTGTTCCTGTAAATTCAGATTGCAAAACACCACATGTTTAGACTTCTAATAGTTTAGATGGAAGGAAATAATGAGAATTATCTGCAAACAACTTCTCATGGAATATGTTGGTTTCTTTTTACATTGGTTGATTGGCCACTTATAATGACCCTTTTATTGTCTTCAGATTTTCTCCATAAATTTGTCGAGTTTTCTTTTTGCTGTGATTACAAAGATCCTAACTAAAGGAGGAAAATGATTCACCGGATTTTCAAAACAAAGCAATAATTGCCAGAGGGCATATAAAATAAAATAAAATATAACTCAATGAGTTGTATTGAGTCCTTGAGAAGAACATTATTTTGGCAAAGGGGAAGCGCGTTCTCAGTAGTTTAGGTGGTCTTCGATCTTTCTCTCGTTCCTATCAAGGATCTCTGAATATCTTGCCATTATGACGCAGGCAGAGTTTGATAAAGCAGCTGAAAAAGTTAACAACCTGAAGTCACCATCATCAGATCAAGAATTGCTGGATCTCTATGGCCAGTTTAAGCAAGTTACAGTTGGAGATGTAAATACAGAACGCCAGTGGTGGGTTGCTCCTGTTTCAGTCCGGTTCTATAGAACCGGTAGTAAAACCAGCGGGAGGCTCCGCCCACCTGCCACGACATCATCATGGGTGATCTGCACATGTGCAGAAGTACTCCCACTGTGAACTGGTAGTAAAGGTAAGTGGAACCCACCCCTGCAGAATGCCCTGGAACATTTGATTTAAAAGGCAAAGCGAAGTGGGACGCTTGGAATAAATTAAAAGGTGTGTCCAAAGAAGATGCAATCAAAGTATATATAGCCAAAGTTAATGAGCTGAAGGAGAAATATGGAATGCAATGAACTCCTGACTGAATGGAAATATGCTTTACTAACAATATGGATACTTAAATCGTATAGCACACAATACTGCCAACAGTGCCAGACATTTGCCACTTCTGAACAGCCGTGTAAATTTTCTTCTAATGGTTTATAGAATAAAAATACTCAGTCAGTGTTCAACTGATTGGTAACTAGTTTAAAAAAACTGAGAGAGAGAAGGACATTATTTTAAAAATTACAGGGACCCCCTAAAAGAAAATTAGTTAGGCATGAATGATAGAAAACAGAATAAATAAAGCAAGATTCCTTACTACTCCTTTTTGTCTATGATCTGATTTTTGTTGTGGCATGAGTATAAAACAGATTTCATACTGCCCATGGCTCCACTGTATTCCTCTGTCTTTCCAGCTGCATAAGTTTATTTCTTCTTCTCTTTGGTTTCCTCCATTTTCCCAACTCTTTCATCATTTTCTAGGAACATAGAGACATCTGCTGGCCTGGAGAGGCATCTGGGGTACTCAGTATTTTTTTTTCCCCTTATATGTGTTGGTCTAACAGGCTACAGAGAGGATTATAATGGGTTTTGGTCATTGAGGGTTCCTAAAGGTTTTGGTTGCCAAGAAGTGGGGTTAATTTTGTTTACTTGTCTGTTTTTCCATAGCTGAGATCAGAAATATTCTGGTCAAATATGCAGGATGGACTTCTCTAAAAACAAAACAAAAAAGGTGAATGCTCTAAGATCCAAAAGAGCAATGCTTTGCACTGTGAGAACATTTGGGAGATCTTCAGATTGGCTATATAAATAAACCGCTTGGAATGAAACTGTTGCAATGCTAACTGGGTTACAAAGGCTTTGAGCTCTAACCTTCTTTCAGATCCTACATTACGCATTTTTCATAAGTGCATTTTCCCAGCTTCTTATGGCTCTAATAGTGTGAATCGGTTTTGTTAAAACCACTGCAATTGGTAGTGAGTGTAGAGGACTCTTTGAGCAAGGGGGGCTCTGTGGATGTCAGACTTTATTATTCCCAAGTAAAAACTGTTCTGGGTCAAAGGGTCTTTCCCAAGTTTTCATGAGTCTTGGCTGCCTTTTGCATCCTTGTGTGGCTCAAAAAGGCCTTAGAGAGACTTCTTTTGACACACTTATCTATCATTTTAGAGGCTTTTTGATGACTTAGTAGGAAGGAATTAGTGGGAATTCTGGGCTGAATTAGAATCTCAGCCAGAAGAGCATTTGGGAGTTAGTTATATGTATTTCTTCTTAACGTTGCAATGGTTTCAGCAAGCAAATCAAAATCAGAGTTTAGTATACTTATGTCAATTATACCAGAATTGTGATTGTCTTAAAAAAAAAAAAAAACAGAGGTTGTCTGAAAGGATAGTAGGGGTTGACCCAGGGGTGAGTTCTACTTACCTTTACTACCGGTTCACAATGGGATTGCGCAGATCACCGATGATGACATCCGGGGTGGTGGACGGGGCCTCCCGCCGGTTTTACTACCGGTTCTTGCGAACCGGTCCAAACCAGAGGCAACCCACCACTGGGTTGACCTTATTGGCTCACACAACTAGGGGTTGACCTCATTGGTCACTCAGGTCACTAATTTGCTGTGGGTCAATGGAAGGTATTCCAATATGTGCACTTTGTGATAGAACAAAGGAAGGCCACACCCAACATGACAAAACAGCAAAGTATCTGAGAGAATTGTTTCGGATCTCTTAAAGCAGAATACATTCAAACTACTGTAATACTGTCTCATCTCATAAATCCCTTTGACTCATAAATCCCTCCCCATTTTGGGCAGATACAGTGCCGAACACCTAGACCTTGCTTAATGACTGCTTGCTTAAAGACCATTCAAAACTACAATGGACTCAAAAAGAACTTCAAGTTGTGACTGCCACATATACACCTCACCATCATGGATTGCATTTTGGGCACTTGACTGTTGTAGTCCTTGCATGTATGACTGATTGCAGCACCCCAGGGTCACATGACTGAAATCTGCAACATTTTTGGCCAGTTTTCTGTGTTTTGGGCCAGTTTCCAGCAAAAAAAAAAAGCCCATTCGGGAGAATGAATTTACTTAATGACCATGTGCTTCAATTAACCACCATAGCGAGTCACTTTGCAATGTCATAAAAATGGTTGTAAAATTGAATCAGGAATCATCGTGACCTGCTTAACAACTTACAACCCAAATGTTGGATTCAATTGTTGTTATTAAGTGAGGATCACCTGTATAGGTAAGAACTTACAGAGCATGTCCTGTAAGTGTACTGTATATTCCTTGATATTTAGGCTATTCTGTAGTGATTTCAAGAGGGACAGATCAAAGAGTCCTTCATGGACATTTGGATTGAATAATACGAACTCTTTTATCAGTGATACTAGGAGAAGGTGATGCTTATCTGTTGCTTCATTTCACAACTATGTCCCTACAGTTTTACCACCAGATTTGCTGAGATTCCTCCAATTCCTTTAAGCAGAAACAACTTGTCTCTTTCAAAGTCTTTCTCACATGGGATGGAGACTTGAGCTAAGTAACAGTTTCATGAGCAGAGTGACTTTTAGATTTTCAGAAACCCACATAAAGCTTAGTTGGGATAGAGGGACATCGGTCCAACATCATTCTTTAGCTAGCTGTTCCTGCTTCCTTAACCTGTTGGCAATGGGGGGGGGGGGAATTTATTCACAGCTGCTTAGAAAGTGAATGTGTCTTATAAACGATGCTGGATGATATTCCTCCACCGGAGTCATGTCCTCTATTGTAATATTCTCCAAAAATCTGTAACAGAAATCAAGACCAGATCTCACTTGAAATTTACCAGAACCTTTGGCAGAGGGAAAACATGAAAGTGGGGGGGGGAGGGGAAGGAATGAGTCTCAAGTTTATACTTGAGCAGAATTTTAAATAAATGCTTTCAGACTTTAGGGGGTTTTGTACTATAGAACGATTTCCCTGCATTGGACTTTCCAGCACAGAAATTAGTTCAGTTGGATTCCTGGAGATCTCAGTTGTCACAGTAATCATCTTCACCACCCCCAATGCTATCAACTTCATCAGGAGTAGGACTAATCATATTGTAAGGAGAAGTTTGAGAAGCACATCAATTTGCAAATTGGTGTGCAAATTGGACATAGAAAGAAAATGGGCACCACTGTGTTCACCTCTGGGAAATGACAACATGTTGTGGACAGTGAATAGGATAGGATAGGATAGGATAGGATAGGATAGGATAGGATAGGATAGGATAGGATAGGATAGGATAGGATAGGGGAGAGGAGAGGAGAGGAGAGGAGAGGAGAGGAGAGGAGAGGAGAGGAGAGGAGAGGAGAGGAGAGAGGAGAGGAGAGGAGAGGAGAGGAGAGGAGAGAGACCTTGTAAGGCATCTAGTCCAACCCCTTGCTCAAGCAGGAGACTCTACATCATTCCTGACAGATGGCAGTCCAGTCTCTTCTTGAAAGCTCCAGTGACAAAGCTCCCACAACTTCTAAAGGCAAGCTATTCCACTGGTTGATTGTTCTCACTGTCAGGAAATTTCTCCTTATTTCTAGGTTGAATCTCTCCTTGGTCAGTTTCCATCCATTATCCCTTGTTTGGCCTTCAGGTACTTTGGTAAATAGATTGGCCCCCTCCTCTCTGTGGCAGCCCCTCAACTATTGGTACACTGCTATCATGTTGGTGAGCAAAAGGGAATTTCAGTGAGCAAAAGGGAATTATATTGCCTACAATTTGAGCAAATTGCTATTTTTAAGACAGTGACATCCCCCTTTTGCAAAAAATAATAATAATAAATAACGGTAATATTTAAGAAACACAACTTATATTGTTAAAGCACCTTTTTCAATCAAATTGACCATCTGTTGCCTATTAAACCACTGTCTGTTACTGCTGCATTCTTACACAATCCTTTTGGCAAGTAAGGTTCAACATATGCTTCATCTTCCAGTGTGGCCTCCTAAAAGGGAATGACCCCAATTTAGCATTTTATAGAGGTTGTAGGCTTGCTTTTTTTTATTTTCCCCATAGGCCACTGCACAGAGACTGGAGCAGAACTTTTATCATTGCCTCCAGCAAAAATTAGCTCACTGCTATTCTTCCCCAGCTGGAATTAACCATCTATCTGTCCTCCGGACTGCATATTTAGAGCAAATTTTGGTATTTAAGACTGGAACTACATACTTCTTGTGGGTGGGGGATGAGAGTGGGAGGAAAAAAAATGATGGTCAGCTAGCCTAACCCATGTCCAGTGTTGGAGTCTGCAACACCGTGGCTGTCCAGTCTCCAGGAATTTCCTTCGGGCAGTTTGCCTCCTTCTCTAGCAGCCCGTATCACCAGCATACTCCTTTGAAAATTTAGCCAAAATCAATTATCCTGAATTTTCCATCACTGGTTCTCATCCTGTCCTCTGCTACAACACAGAACATTCTGTTTTACCCAGCCCTTAAGATATTTGGGGACAGCTATCGGCTTTCCTCTCATCTTCACGAAATGTCTATCCAGATCTTTCAACCTGTTCCCACAGACTTTGGTTTCTAGATCCTTCCCGTTTTTTTTTATTATTATTATTATTATCATTTTTTGGGAAAGCTCCATATAATTAATCATGTCATTCTTAACATGTGACTCCCAGAGGTAGACACAAGATTCCAAAAGAGAGTGATACTTACATTTGTTTCATCCGATTTGAATAAGAAGTAATTCCACATTTTCAAAACATTTTCAAAGCACACACGCCAAAACCTTAGTGATACTTCAAAATTCACATGACTTCCGTAATGTAGCTTTCCTAATGTGCCTTTTTTTTTTTTTACTTAGAGAAGTCTACAAAAACATTAATGTATTCATGAAGTAAATGCACAAAAGGAGCACAATTTGAGAACACAGTTTTAAAAAGTTGTATATCGGGCAAAATGACAAAGAATATGTACATTTGGAGAAAGGTGCCCAAAAAGGCAGGCAAATTTTAGAAGGAAGTTTTTTAAAAAATAATAATCTCAAACTATTATGAAAATAGAGACCAAATCAAACTTATAGATGGAAGTAAGCCAGATCTAAGGTTGGAGGGGATGGGGGGTGAGAGGAAGAAATGGAAAGCAACCAAAACAGATTCACAGAAATGAGAAATCAAGAGAAACCCAAATGA